TCTCTTTCACGGTGATCTTCATTACAGATAATACCTAAAACAAAACAAAATTATCAGTTTCTAAAACTCTTAACTCTAAAGCCTGGTCTCTGATTAGGTATATTTACATTCAATATACTTAAATAAATATATTTAAGGTATATTTACATTAAATATACTTCTTATAACCAGGTATAGTGCCACATCCCTTTGATCCCAGCAGGCACAGGCAGGCAGATCTCTGTGAGTTCAAGGCCAGCCTGGTCTACATAGTGAGTTCCAGGCCAGCTGAGGCTACAGGAAACCCTGTCTCAAAAATACCAAAAATATCTCCAAACTTAAACCCTAAAACAGCAAATCATCTAATCGACGTATAGACAAATAAATTGAACAGACAGTTCTCAAAAGAAGAAATAAGAATGGTTAATAAACATAAAAAAAATTCAATATCCTTGACATCATGGAAATGAAAATCAAAACTATATTGAGATTCCCTCTCACCCTAGTCAGAATGTCTTTGTCGAGTAATCAGGCAACAATAATGTTATGAGGATGTGGCAAAGAAGAAACCTTTACATACTGTTAGTGAGGATGTAAATTTCTGCAACCACTAGGGAAATCAGCATGAAAGTTCCTCATCTGGGCATCAGACTAGATGTCTATTAACAACTGAATGAATAAAGAAAATGCGGCATGTACAATAGAGTATTATTCAGTCATTAAGAAAAATAAAATCTCATTCTCAAAAATATCATTTTTATAGATCATGACCTTAAATAAAATCAGGCCTAGAAAGACAAATATTGCATGTTCTTTTTTATATGAAGAATCTAGACTTTAAAAAAAGACTTGGAAACAAAGAAAATACTATTTAGAAAGAGGAAGAGACCAGTAGGAGAGGTGAAGAGAGGAAAGAAATCAGTTATGGGGAAGTAAGATCAAAGTACATGGTACACATGTGTGAGAATGTCATAATGAAGCTCATTATTTTTTATGATAAATAAAACACGAATAAAATTTAAAAGTATTTCAAAGTGATTAAAATATATTTAACAAAAATATAGTAGCTGTGAAAATTCTTAATATGTATTTGACACAAATTCCATGAATTCCAGCCTAGTTTTATATTTATAAATATAAACAAAGTTATGACAGGGGCTGGAGAGATGGCTCAGCAGTTAAGAGCACTGGCTGCTCTTGCAGAGGACCTGGTTCAGTTCCCAGCACCCACATGGCAGCTAACTCCAGTTCCAGGGTATCTGACGCCTTCTTCTGACCTCCATAGGCATTGTATGATACAGGTGCACTTGCAAACATGCAGACAATACACTCATATACATAGAATAAAAATGATAAATAAAATGTTTCGTGTTTTGGGTTTTTGTTTCTTTCTTTTTGAGACAGGGTCTCCCTGCAGTCCCAGCTGGCCTGAAAATCACTATGTAGACCAGGCTGGCCTTGAACTCACAGAGATTCACCAGCCTCTGTCTCCCCAGTGCTGGGATTAAAGGCATGGGCCACCATGCCTGGCCTACGAATAATTAAAAAAAAAAAAAGATATAACAGCTGGATGAGTGTGGTGTTTGATAGCCTGGCACTCAGGAGGCAGAGGCAGGCAGATTTCTGTGAGTTCAAGCACAGCCTGGCCTACATAGTAAGTTCCAGGCCAGCTGAGGCTACAGGAAGACTCTGTCTCAAAAAAAAAAAAAGTATAACAACAAAAAATTGAAAAATGCGAAAATGACAATTGAGAGGCCTGTTCAATAAATCATGATATATTCATAGTTAATGATAACCATACGACCTTTAAGAAAATGAAATGACTTTGTTTGAGGTGACTTCAGATGAGCCCCAAATGTATTTGGTAAACAAAATGAGTATAAGAAAGATAAACAGCATTTGTGGCTTTTAATTGTACTTGGAGGGGGAAGGTAGGTGAGACTAAGAGGTAACTGTAACTTTAGTCATTTACTGTCTATGCTTCTATATTGTTTGAGTTTTTACAACATATACATGTACCTGTGTATTGTTTTCAATAAGAATAAAACAACAGTAAATAACACTTAAGGGGAATTTTGGTTACTAGAGAAAATGTTTATCCTACCATAAAAGCTAACATTCACTTTGTATAATGGGCCTGGCACTGAGACAAATGTAGTAAAATGCACCAACCTCATTCTCACAGCAAATGGGAGATGTCAATACTATCATGATCCCTATTGCGTAAGTGTGCTGAGTGCATCTGACAGCAAGATTTATCTGACTCAAGTGTTTTTGGTTTTCTTTTTCCTGATTGCCAATATTTCACCAAAATTCATATTTCTGTCCATTACACTGTGACTCCAATTTGAGAACACTGAAAGTTATGAATTACAGCATCTTAGATGCACATACAAAGTTTATTACTCTTATACAAACACTAGTTAAATCATAGAAAACGCTTTGAATGTTTTCCTACCTTTATTCCTTAGCATGTAGACTATCAAATTTCTATCTCTTTCCATTTTGGTGTTAGCATCTTTTTATTTTAAAAATTATTGTTTGAGTTTCACAAAGAAAATAGTTAAGTGAGTTTTGGCTTGGGATTAGCACATAAGTTCTGAAATGTCACTAAACACATTTATGTCATTTTGTACCATGTATTTATCCAAGGTGACATTCTCAGTATTGGCAATTGTAAAATAAAAATATCAACTCCAAAAGCCTTTGAAGATGCTCTATATCCTATACCACTAAATATTCTGCCAAGACTTAATTCTTTGTGTAAAAAGCACATCTGTCTCATTATTATATAAATTTTCTTTTATCTTTAATAAATGGTAAAATTGTAGATATACCAAAGAATTATTGTAAAATATATTTCTATATACTTTATTAACAGGAGATGTTTGATGTGTATACCAGTTTTGATTACCTCTATACACAGATTTGCATAAAAAATTCTTAGATGAAAAGGAATCAAAGGTGAAAAAGTTTCAAAAGCTCTGCATTGTAGAGTTGTTACACAGGTTCAGAAAGACAATCCATACAATACATATAAACCTCTGGAAAAGTACTTAGCACAGAAGACACAAAAAGTGATAGTTATTATTATTACTTTGTATGCCTGATTGACCCTATAAGCATCTGAGTTTATTATTTCTGACCTTGCTTTACATAACAACAACTTAAAAAGCAGTATGGTGTGATCTCAGAGCTTCAGAAACACAAAGGAAATATGATTAGAAATTCATAAAATATCAAATGTGGTTTTACCTGAGGAATGAGTGCATTCTAGCTTTTTTATCATTCTTTTCTATATGTTATGGATTCAACTTCTCCCCCCTCAACATTTATATATCAAATCCCTAATTACCAAATGTGACTATATTGGAAGATAAAACCACTAAGGAGATAACAATATATTAGCTCTTGAATGTAATTCAGTAAGAATATTCTCCTTACAATAAGCATTGAGGTTATAGTTCAGTAGTAGAGAAAACTTGTTCAGCATGAGAACGTGTTTGATTCTCAGTACCACAAAAAAAGAAAGAAAAAGAAGAAGGAAGGAGAAGGAAGAAAAGGGAGAAGGAGAGGGAGGAAAGCGAGGGAGGGAGGGGGAGAAAAAAGACCATGGGAGGATACTGCAAGAAAACAGCCATCTACAAGTCAAGGAAAGAATTTTTCCAGAAATAGCCCTATGGGTGTCCTGATCTTAAACTTCAATCTCTAGAAATGTGATAAAATATATTTATCATATAAGCCAGTGAGCCTGTGGTTTTCTAATATGTTAACCAGAGCAACTAATACACTATTTTCTATAAAGAACATTTATTACTCTAAAAACATGAAAGGGAGAATATTACTAAAATGTATATGCACAAATGTTGGTATCTTTTACCACATATAAGCATATTGTTACTATGTTGGTATCTTTTACCACATATAAGCACATTGTTTAAAAGTCTACAGAGTAATCTTAAAAGCCATTTTAATCTTTTTACAAAATAAGAATAAAAATATTCAATTCATTTTCTAGACTCCTCAACAAAACTACAGTCTCACATGTTCAGAATACTAAAGAT